GACTTTTAGAGTCATGAAATTTATAATATTTTTTTAATTCAATTTAAACTTCTTTTCAGTCTGCCTAAAAATTATTTCTGCATTTTTGCAGATCATTCGGACGTCACTGGAAGGAGAAGTCAAACCTTTACATCCAGATTTATAATATTTGAAACCTAGCAAACCATCATATGGTTCTGTTGAAACTAAAGCTGAGAAACAGATATTACATTTTACTTTATAAGCTAAGCTTTTAAACAACAAAACCAGCTATATAAGATGTATACTTGTCGTTCTTGAATATTCTTATTTTTGATTAGTTATAATGCTAGGAATTAAAATTTACCTATAATTTAAAAAAGCAGCAAAAAATTATAAATTTTAAAGAAAAACTTTCAAAAATTCACTTTTAGGCATTTTAGTATTTAGTTATAGTTTTAGTAATTGTAAAAGAAAATTACTTGGTTGAATTTTTCTGTTAGTTCAGATTTAAAATATTATTTTCTAAAAGAAGAAGTTACAAATTCGCTTACTCATAGGAAAAGCTAAAAATATATACAAGCCTGAAAGCATGCAGCAGCTTTATAATTATTTAGAACGTTAATTATGCTTGAAAAACATGCTAAGTATTTAAAAAGCAATCTCAGTGTCAAAAATAAAATATTTAAAAATTCTTACTTGTGAAATGAGGCACTACCACCAGCTATTTTGTGACAATTGTACGCGCTGCAATAGCCAACCATTGCTAATTTCTGGAAGTCGTCCCTACTCCTCCAGATGTGATCAAGGTGACAGCCGGGAACGCGCCAGACAAAGGAGAAAACGCAATTGGGTTAGTCTATTTCTTATAAGGTCCATGGAGAATATATTGTGACGTCACAAGTTTAGTTCCACCCATTTAAGGACGTTACACAGCTCCGCCTTCCCAACTTCCCAACAAAACCAGTGCTTTCGTGCATCACTGTTCTGAGGGCAAAATGAACTGATGGTAGATAGTTCTTCCAATCAGAAGTCGCTCCTATACATATGACTCTTAACACCCTTTTTAGCGTTCTATGGAATCGTTAAACGGGATTACTCTGCGGATAATACACACAGCTTCTTACATGTTTAATGCAGAAACACTCCAAAAATTCCTCTGTCAAAGCACTGACAAAAGAGGTCCCCTGATCTGTTTGGATAACTTTGGGGAAGCCGATACGACTGAAAATCTGTAAGAAAGTATCATTCACAGATGGCGAAGAAATGTCTGTCACCGCAACAGCATCTGGAAATTTGGACGACATACACAGAGCTGTAATAATATATAGCATAATATTGAAATAGGTAGCAGACCAACAGCATCGATATTTATTTTAGTGAATATTTCGGAAATGACTGGTACTAACGTAATTGCAGCCTTCTTTTTTTGTCATTTCCCTTCTCAGAGCGCTGACAAGCGTCACAGATTTTTACAAAATCTTCGGTTTCTTTGTAACACCTCGTCCAATAAGAATGTCTAGCCAGTCTGGCTTTGGTCTTTCTGATACCCAAATGACCAGAAATTCCTTCGTGGCACAACTTTATAATTGTCGGCTTGAGCTTTTCAGGTATAACTACAAGCTATCTTTCAAAGCCCATTTTATCTGTCGTTTTTTTAACTAAAAGCCCTTTTCTTGTCCGACTATTGTTCTAATTTTTTCATGTACCTTTTTTAAATTCTTGGATGATTTTAGACAGTTCCTTATCAGTAAGCTGAAGTTGTGCAACTTCTTTTGAGTCAATGTTTACTAATTTCATGAGAGCTTCATCTTCCATATTTAATTCTGGTAATTCAACTTCTTCTTCAAAGACATCTCTGGATGCTTTATTTTCTTCCTTTGTCGGTTCCAAGATCTTCTCTTCAGCTATTTTTCTTTTCCTTTGAGCTCTAGTAGAGACGGCATTAATCTGATTAGGACGACTATCAGGTTCCTTTTCTTGGTTATTCAACAGTGCTAAAGTTCGATTGCCTAATAAATACCTTCCTCTGTCGAGTTCATTTCTAATAATGGCAGCCTTAGTTATTACTCGCCCAAGATCGCAATTTAGTTTGATCTCAGCCAATGGCAAACAGGTTGGATTCAAATCTAATGGCTGTTGCACCCACATATTTTCACCTGTCAGCATTTCCGGCGTGGTGTATTTGCGACAAACTATATCAATACTAGCACCTGAATCCCTTAATATAGGAATTTTATGACCATTTACGTAACCCATACTAGTATAAGGTAATAGAAATTTATCCTCTGGATTTGCACTAATTCTGTTAAGATTAGCAGGAGATTCAGTATTATTTTTAAGTTTCGGACATTGGGGTCTTAAATGTTGATAGGATCCACACTGATCACATTGTGGCGTCTTTCGTGTTTCATATTTATCATCTGGAGGTAGACGTCTTGGTTTATGGAACCAGCTTTGCGAATTATATCCTGATGACAATTTTTTTTTTCAGTTTTATTTTTATTATCTGAACTCACTATCTGAACTTTACTTTGAGTTAGTGCATTGTATCTTTCTTTTTGCCGATCCACTACAGGCCTTTCTTGAAAGTTTCCGCGAACGTCTTCATAGGCATCAAGTTTTTCAGCTAATTTTTTTAGATGAAATTATCTCTACCTACTCATCAAGAAAATGATCTCAAATTTCAGGAGGAACTTGACGTTTCAGTTGGTCATCACCATCAAATCTAGCAACTGATCAAAAGTCTCAACTCCTAGACCAGTACCCATTCTTTACAATAATTTTCTATTTCATAGTTGAAATCCACCCATGTGGATTCGGTACTCTTTGATGTTTCATAAATTTCTGCCTAAACTTTTCCGGGCTTAGCTTAAACCGTCTTAACAATACATTCTACACATGTTCAGAGTCTTTTGTTTTATCGGAGGGTTCTCTAGTTATTAACTGTGTTACTTCGTAAGGAAGTAGTCCTAGTAAATAAGATACAAATTCTTCTTTATCAAGTTTAGTCCATTCTGCTAGCCTTTCAAACAATAGCAAATATAGACTGATATCTTCTTTCTTGTTATCGAATTTCTGCAAAAGGTGACGCAGCTCCGTTTTCGGCCGGACCTGTCCGGTAGTTTGAGACCTTGTCTCTGCTTCAAGTCTTAATCTCTCTAATTCATACTGCTCTTTCCTTCTCCTCTCTTCTGCTCCTTCCTTCTTCCTGTCCTTTTCTCTTTCCTCCCTCTCTTTCCGTTCTTTTATTATTGTGTCTAAGACTCCTTTGACGAATACTTCATCATAATCTCTGCTTTCAACAATTTTCTCTTTTAAATCGACTATTTTCAAATCTGCAGTCACATGAACTCTCAGTTCAGCCGCAAGTTTTTTGCAAATCTTCCTTTGAGCTCTTCCTAGATAAGGTAGTGTGTCTATGTTTAAAATAAACGAATACTTTCTCAAACGAATACCTCTCAATTTTCTTTGACTCTTTATACTTTCTCAAAATAGCTTAAATCAAATACTTTAATTAATTTAGACAACTAAAGTGAATATTAAAAATAATATCCAATACGGTAATAAAATAAGCAATTCAATATTAACAGAAAGTTTTGGTAAGGCGATAAAGGTTACTAGGCTAGGACTTTAGCAATAATCTGAGAAGTACACAGTTTGAATCACAGATTATTTTGTTTCAGAGAAATGAGAGATCATGAGACATGTAATGTGACATTTTCCGAAAAATTGCAATCGTGGTTTTAGCTAATAAGCACTTAGAAACAATTTCCCCGCTAAAGTGCAGAATCGTCCGCTTATTTGTTTGGCGCTTTTTACAAGAGTAAGAAGAATTGGATTTTTGTCAATTTTCTTTGACTTTTTAAGTGAAAATAGGTCGATGTGTACATGGATAACGTCAAGAGTGTGCGCAATGCCACTTTTGTGCAATTCTGGGATTTTTTTTAAAGTGAAAATAGGTCGACGTGTACATGGATACCGTGTATGTGCAATTCTTAAAAACGCGGCAAGCAGTGGGCGATTCTGCACTTTCTCCCAATTTCGCGCCTAATCTTCGTCATGAATAAGCACTTTTGTTCCATAAAAGTTCTAGCATAAGCGTAATTTGGCTAGCAGATTGTTGGAAAAAATGTTGAGTAAAAAAAAGAAAAACATGCCTTTACTTTGTGAAAACAAAATGGCATCAAAAAAAAAAAAAAAAAAAAAAAAAAACTAGCAGGTTGCTGTAGCAGGGTTGGTCGCCAAATTTTCGTCAAAAAATCGCCAAGTTACCATAATCCGAAGATTCACCGAAAGTACTAATCTGGTATCACTAATTCTAGAAATATATAGTTCAGTGATGAACTAATAAAATAAAGCAATTCAATTTCAACAGTAAGAAATAACCTGGTATCACTAATATTACGTTCAGTGATGAGCTAATAGAATAAGACAATTAAATATTAACAGGAAGTAATAAACTAGTATCAGTAATATTACGTTCAGTGATGAACTAATAAAATGAGAATACGCACGATTATTCGAATCTCGCCGGTGCCTCCAAAATAATTAAGACTGTGATACTTCTTTCGCAGTATGAAGCAAACTCCATTGATGGAACACAGAAAAAAATATTTTTATTTAACACTCAAAATAGCGACATACAAATCAGAAGAGAAAACGATCACCTAACATTTAAAAAAAAAGAAATACATTATGCGTGCGAGGGCCATACGTGGCTCTCGAGCCTGCGTTACAAACATTGGCGTTAACATATACATTAAAGTTTATTATTTGAAATTACAATATTTTAATAACAATATTAAGCTGTTACAGGACACTCAGGGGCAGTCGTAGTATTTTCTCGATAGAGTTAAACAGGGTAATGTGTACAGTTGTGACTCATCAAACTTGAGTCGTATTCATAACAAATATCATATACCAAACAAAATTTTCGTTTCCAAAACAGGAAACAGTTACATTTATTTAAAAACGAATGTATATTGCGAAGCCCAATAACTGAAAATAAATAAATAAATAGAATGCGCCATTATACTTACGGGAAAATAATGAATAACTGTTTCGTTCAACATTGTTGCAAAGGTTATGAAAGTAGCAACAAATAAACCTGAAAGTTAAAAAAAACCCAATTTTATGCAATAAATTTACAATTGAATTATATTATTTATTATGAAATTTTTTTTGTGTCTAAAGAATTTTTTTCTTTATTATAACTTAATATTTAAATGTTTCTTCAACATATGCGAAATTAAAAACTAACAGTAATAATGACAACAATAAAAATAACAATAAAAATAAAATTTTCGTTTGTTATGGCAAAATCCATAGCAACAATAATATTAGAAATTACAATAATGATAATAAGTCCAAATAATATCCATATTTAAACAGTGAAGATAGCAAAAACTTAATTTTAAAGAAAGTTAACGATACGTTGCAGAGACCTTAAAGAAAGAAAATTGCCACTGAACTGAATTTAATTAAAAACATATATTATGCAAATACACTGAAAACACGCAGTGTATTTAAGATGCAAATACACTTAAAGTGACTACTACTTCAGAGCACATATTAATTCTAACAAAATTATATATATGTGTAAAAATGAGTCGAAGATCTAGTCTTAAAAAAACGACCATCTCCGCATATTCAAAGCATCTGGAATTTCGGGTGGTGGTCTAAGAGAAGGCTCATTGTAATTATAATCAAAATTCAAGGAGAGTGTTGTTTCAGTGTTTGTCTAGTTTGCTTTAGGAATATTTTAAGAGATGTTGGAAACCAAAAATCTTCCTAGAATGCTGATTTCGGATTTTTGCATTTTCAAATTCTCTACATTTTTATTTTTCTAAAAATACCATTTTTTAATCTCTATAAAAATAAGATCTGTAAAAAAAATTCTAGTTTAAATTTGTCATCGAATGCTTCGATAAATGAGGATTTTTACATAAAAACGCGTTTTTCTCCAAACTCGATTTTTTTATACTCGATGCATCTTTTCTCAGAAACTATTGCTCACAGGTATCTAAACTTTTTATGGCTTATTTATTAGGTTTCCTAATATTTACTGAAATGAGCTTTTTGTGATAAACTAAGGAGATTAAAAAAGTTTTTTTTTTTTTTTTTTTTTTTTTGTGTGTGTGTGTGTGTGAAAAATGCGCTAAATTTTACTATGCCTAACAAAGTATTCTGTAAATTTCTCTAAAATTCAAAATGTTTCAAAAGCTCATTTCAGTATAATCAGATAGCTATACTTTAATTACACAAAAAATTTCAAGCGTGTATCTACAGCAGATTTTGAGAAAGGTACATCGAAAATGGCCAATTTAACATTGCCGGTATAGGGGTTTCTGATACCCCTTAAAATATAAACAAATCAAAGTGGAGAAATTTTTAATGGGATAAAGATCCAGTGATTTTCGAATAGACATAAGCCGTGTTAAGGCAAAAAGAAAAGAGAAGAGCAGCTGCAATAAAACATTTTGCACCTTCGACTTCTTCAACGTTTTCTTCTTACACCATCAAAATTCTTTCTTAGACATACGATAAAATTTAATTAAAGTTTTCCTATTTAATATATGTTTAATATTGTGTTCAACGTTATACATATATTAGCATCGTGTTTGTGTTTTTAATGAATCCTATTGGTTTTATATTGCAAATAAACGAACTTACGAATACAATACGATTATAAAGTACTGTTTTCTAAACTATCGTATGAGATCCGGGAGGCGTAATGGCAAACCGCACATTGAGTTGATCAATGTTAAACGAATTTCGCTTATTGCGCATGCCCAAAAGAGAATTTGGCGCAATTACGACTGTGGCACAATTTTAAAAGAAGATAAATATGGTATACGGTTGATATTGTGTTATCTTGGGCGTAAACAGTTCGAGGTTTTAAAACGTGTCAGGTTGTAAGCTGTTTCATTACTTGGAGTGTCGAGTGTAAATGTCGATTGTAAACTACCCAAATTTTCTTTTAAAAAGGATTACAAAACAGGAAACATTACAAGATATACTAGCTGATTATACTTCTGAGGAATAAAAACAATTGAGTATTTAACATACGTTTCATTCATACAATACTTTAACAAATTAAGGATTAAATCTAGTTTAAATTACTGAATTAAAGGTCAAATAAATTATTGTAAGTAAATGAGACTGTTGCAATTGTAAACAGTCGATAAGACCTACATGATGAACAGGCTTGTGTAGGGTTGCTTATGCTTAGTCGCCAGTATTTTCTTTCACGTCTGCGGTACACCAGTGAGCATGAGCAGTAAGCGAAATTCGTTAACATTGATCAACTCAATGTGCGGTTTGCCATTAAGCATCCGGAAGCTTAATTAGTTTACATTATTTAATTTTTAATTTAGTCATTTTACATTATTTCTGTGGGAAAAATTGTTTCGGTTTACAAATATTTAGGATAACGAACTATATTTAGAATCGAACTAAGTTCACTCCGAGGTTTCACTGCATTTTAAATTCTTACGGTTCCTTACCATTCGTCTGTGAACTTTAGCCCAAGATAGACTAATGAACGCGATTCTGCTTGATGACTTTATAATGAAATTTTGAATAATATTACTGCTTATTTGTTTTGTTTGCTTTATGCAATAAAATTTTTTACCTTTATGCTGAGTTTCCCAGTTTTATCTAAATAATTGAGGGGATGCTATCTATTACATTTATTTTAAACGGCCGTTGGGATTAAATGCGTAGAAGTAATAATATTTAAATACTGTATACATAATTGATCAGTTTTTTATTTGATAGACAACTTCGAAGAATGTCACCACTGTAATCTGGTAAAGGAAAAGTTAAAGCCGCTTGATGTATTTGAAAACTAACAACTTCAATCGATTTTATTTTCTTATTATTAGGATTACTAGTCGTGTTCTTTCCTTTTTAGAGATAAACGCCCTTTACTATCGTCTCTCAATTAATCTTTCTTTTAACTGTCGCTGTATTATTGGCGCATCTTTATTTTTTGCACATTAGCCCAAATGGGGCGTTAGCTTAAATGGGCTATTAATCTTGAAACCAGATTTCGGGTTGAATCACTATAAAAGGGGTTATCACTTTTCAATTTATTGCTACCAAATATTATCGACCTGTATTATTTTTAAACAAATTAAATAATGAATAATCTGCATTGATGTATGCATGTTTTTCGCAGTGTGAAAAAATGATTGTACCTAGAGCCTTCAAATTTTGATTGACGTCGCCCTCTACTCGAACATGTGCAACTGAAAGCCAAACTGTTGAATTTCAAATTTGTTTTATTACCTTTTACGTATTTTGTAAATCTTTAACGAATTTTTTATTACCAAACTCAACCATTTAAAAGCGAGCAGTGGCAACACTGTACAGAATAAAACAATTTTATCTCCAGCGCTCGAGACTCTCTATCGAAAATTCTAAAGATATGATGTTTTTAAATGCCTGATGACTTTGCATTGAACTAAATTTTATGTGGCCCAACAGCGAAAGCCATGATATTTCATAAATGAAGATCATACATAGAACATTAATAATACGAAGAAACATTTTTAAAAAATCTGAAAGGTTTCAGATTTTAGCGGTCGCCCAAAAGTTTTTCATTTAGGTTTTTTACGTTCTCTCTGAGCTCGCAGTCTGCCAGTGCTGTTACACTCATTTCTACTAACCCATCTTTTTTTTTCCTCTTTTTAGCTTTATTATTAAGCATCATTTTCTCTGGATTTACACCATATACCATTCCACAGCAAAATTAGGAAAATTTTAAAAGCAGAATACGTTTAGAATTTCCGACGCAGACTTAAGTGTTGGTATAATATTTTCCTGTTTTTTTGACTCGTTTCTCAATTCGTTACATCAATATCCAGTTTTACTAAGATATCTTTAGAAAACAAATTTTTTGTCTTTTTATTATTAATATTTTGTGTGTTTACTTTATTTATTAAATATCACGTTCATGGCTTTACGCCACCAAAAAAAAATCGATTCAACAACAAAATCACAAAATATTTTTAAAAAAACATATCTTTAGAATTTCCGATAGACGGTCTAGCATGCTGAAGATAAGAATGTTTTTCTTACAGTATCGCCACTGTTCCCTTTGAAATTGTTGAGTTTGTTCATCAAAAATTTATTAAAATTTTACAGAGTACGAAAATAGACAATAAAATAAATTCGAAATTCAAAATTCGGGCTTCCAGATGCACATTTTCTGATAGAAGACCACGTTAATCAAAATTTGATGGCACTAGGTACCGTCTTTTTTTCACACTGTGAAAGCCATGCATACATTCATGCATATTCTTCATCATTTAATTTCTTTAAATATGATATAGGACGGCAACAATATGATATTTGACGGCAACAATTTGAAAAGCGATACTCCGTTTATAGTGATTCAATGCAAAATGTCGTTTCGAAACTAATACTCCATTTGGGAATGACGTCCTTTTTTGGCTAACAAAAAACATTTTTGCGAGCCATCTTACTAAGGAAACTAAGTAAACACTCATATGATAAAATGAGAAAAGCGTGAAAAATATTTTAAAAAAATTATGCCAGCAATTAGGCCTGCGTCGAGAATTCTAAATTTTGTTAAATTACATAAAAATCTTATGATTTTGCTGTTTTTTGTATGTGGCGTAATTGTATTTGGCGTAAGTGTGAAAAAATGATGCTTAAAATGAAACTAAAAAAAGAAAAAAACAAATGGCTTAGCAGTGCGCGGGGAAGGCAACAGCAGGAGAGCATAAAACATTTTTAACAAGCCCTTTTGGGCAGCCATTAAAATCTGAAACCATTCAGATTTTTTTTTTTTAAATTTTTTTATGTTTATTTCTTTGGAGAAGCAAAATCAGTACGTCTCTCCCACAACTGCTCGCCATCGACTCGATCTGAACGATGCTACAACCTAATACGCACTTGTAAAGCTTTTGCTTATTTTACATCTTTGCTTATCTTTTAACTATAAATAAGCCATATAACTATATACAAGCCATAAACAAAAACTTGTAGGGCTATCTCCCCACACCCCCATTTCTTCGGCGCTTCGAGTTCTCTTCGCGCATGCGCAATAAGAATGTCATCTATGCGCGACTGCAAAAG